ATCCATCTGACTGTGTAGGCATCAATGCCACAGTCGCCCAATTTTTTAATGAGGATGGGGTGGGAGATGGTGTCAAAGGCCTTGCTGAAGTCCAGAAAGACTACATCCACGGCGACACCTGCATCCAAGGCTTTTGTGACCTGATCGTAAAAGGCAATCAGGTTGGTCTGACATGACCTGCCCCTAATGAAACCGTGCTGGTTGCCCTTGAGCATCATCTCTGAGGCCAGCCCATCGCAGATGTGCTCCATGGTGATCTTCTCAAAGAGTTTCCGTAGGATTGAGGTAAGACTGACGGGCCTATAGTTGCCCGGGTCCTCCCTCCTCCCATTTTTAAAGATCGACTATCTTCCAATCATCCGGCACCTGGCTCGAGCACCATGAGTGCTCGTAAAGCCGTGCCAAGGGCCCTACAATAACCCCTGCTAGCTCCCTCAACACCCTGGAGTGGAGAGTATCTGGACCCGCTGATTTGAACACATCCAGCGCCTCTAGAAGCTCTCTAATCCGGTCCTCCCCAACCTGAGGTCTGGAGGTGTTCCCCTCGAGTCCATCTTGCATCACGGTGGGAAAGTCCCGGTCCCTGCCCAAAACGGAGGTGAAGAATTGGTTAAAGAAGTCTGCTTTCTCCTCTGGCGCGACCACCAGATTGCCCAGAGGATCTTGCAGGGGCCCCACATTTGAAGTGCCCCAAAAGTAATCTTGGTGTGTTCAGGTTATTTTAAAATTCAAGTAAAATAAAAATAAAAAACCCCTCTCATTAACATTAGGTAGGCTTGATGGTTAGTTAAATAATTTGATTCCTATTATGAAGTTATATATACTTCAAGATGTGTAAAAGTTATATGAAATCAACAACAGTGATGCTGTTAAAGGTGGGGGAAATGGAGGGAAACTTTCGGTAAGTGAGAAATTATGTACCTGAAAACTTCCTAAATGTAAAAAGAACTGTAAAAGAAATACTAAGGAGGTATGTAAATGCGCAGAAATAAATGGAATATGTACTTTGCAACCCTGCAAAAACTTCAGTGGGAAAATTGCTAATGCAGGTATGCTAAATATGGAGCCTGAGTCTTTGCAGGAGTAAATCCATAATTTGCATCTCAGAGGGCATGTCTGCATGAGATGCTACATTGCCATAGCAACAAGTTAGGTCGCCATTGCTCATTGCTACGATGACATAGTGATAGCGGGCACGAACTGTGACACTGACACTACTGTGCAGTTGAGTGGAAAAAAGCCCATGCAACACTGGGACCGTTCAGTAACAACTGCGCAGCCTGGGACATGTGGAGTTAATGACAAAGCAGGAAGTTACAGAATTCAGAACAAGAGTACAAACACATTTAAGGCCCCTTTTCTGTTTCTAAAACTAGTTTTGAAGAAGAAATTATTTGATTCCAGCAGTCTCTTTGGAAAGATTCATTCAAATTACCTGTTTGTATAGTAATCATCTGGTCAAGTTTCATAATTCATTTGTATGGCATCAGAATACATGTCAGACTATAAAATAGGATTTGGTACTATTAAGTCTGATTGTAAAACACTTGGTCTTGTAAAAATGTAAATGCTGTATACTGTGACAAAGTAAAATCTGTTTATTTTTTAAGCAGACTATTTTAGTACTGTCTGGTGGGGTTGGCGCACTAACACATGAAGAAGATGCTATATTTGCAGAAGAAAATACATTGTAAGTACTAATTGCCTAATAGACCATAAGTCCTAGATTTTTTTTTTTTTACAGAACTCTAAAAATTGTAGTTTCTACTCTAAAGGGTTTATACTGTAAATGGGTACTACACCAAAAAGTATTATATTGTGGTGAAAGCGGAAGTTGAAAATATATATCTGTACCTTTTTATAAGCAAAATGATTTCTAAGGGTTTGTAGTTACCATGGTAAAAAAAAAACCCACCCCAAACCTGTCGCCAAGAAATCATATTCTTGAAGTATTGCTTAGAGATGGAAACCATTCTTAATCTTGTTGTTTACAAGTCTTAATTAGTTAAATTTAGCCCTGTATGCAGGGTTGTCAGACATGTCAAGTGTATCAAGATTTGGATGTTATAAAAAAAAAAACTTTTTTTTTTTGCTGTGCAGTATGTATGGAGAGCTAAACTTTGAATACCTTATTTTTTCATGTGTGTTCAGGAAATCGGAACACTTCAGGTCTGATAAATTTATTTAATCTTTATTACAGATATGATACATATTTTTGTCTATGGGTTGGATGGAGCTGGAGATCAAAATCAGCTTTATAAGGAAACTCAGTTGGAACTCTAACAATGAATCCCTTTCTGATGTCCTATAATTTTTACGTCAGACTGTATGGGAGAGGAATAAAGAATATACATCAGGGCTGTCCACATGTGAGGCAGCCAAGGGTCACAAGACTGCCGTACTGCGTGGATGCTCCCACCCCCACATTGTCCCATGTGCCCTTTTGAGCGAGCATCCCCTTCTTCCCCCTGCTCCTGTTGTACTGCACCTCTGTATGGCCCCAACCTCACCCTCTGCTCCCCATGGTTGAGCACAGAAGGCAGAAGCCAGAGAAGGTGGGTGGTGCCTAGAGATTTTGGCTGCAGCTGGAGCAATTAAGGGATCTGGCCGGGCAGGAACCCCTGTGGGCCACATGCAGTCCACAGGCTGGCAGTTGGACAGCCCTGATATGAAGGCTTTGTTTTAGTTGATTAATACACAGGCTGTTAAAAAAAAAAAAAGGAACTAAATGTTCATTTCTGCTTCTGTTTTGTTTGTTACCTGAGATTCCTGTTCTTTTGTCCTTGTAGTGGAACTGCCCAATAACCATTTCACTCTGTTCAGCCAATACAGTATGTTTGAAGCTGAGTGTAGTCAACAAAAAGAAAACCTCTTGCAATGAAATAGTGGGTTATTTAGTGTTAAGTGCAGTCTGGTGTGGAAGCTTCATGGTCTCCATACTGATCAACAATTTCCTTTGGTAGTGGAGGAAGTGGCTACAATCAGGTTTATGTGGCCAGATGTTTGCAACAGCCTTGCAACCCCTCTTCCACCACCTTCAAGCCAACTTAAATACATTAACCTCTCTATACCAAAACTGAGATCTCTACAAATATCAGGCACCTCCATCGTTTTGTAAATTATGTAATAGAATGAAATTCATTTTTTTTTTTTTAATAATTCACTAATGAACTTCAGCTAAAAAAAAGCTGGGGAGACTTATTGCTGGTGAAAGGTATTGGCTGGTAAATGAAGTTTTCTTTATTTTATAAGGCAGAAGCTAGGCAGATTTCCCATCTATCCCACCGTAATACCTCAGTACTGACGTGGGGGAACTCTAAGGGTACCTTGGTCTCCATGGCTCAGGCAGCTTACCTGGAGTTATTAGGGGTGAACTTGTAATGTCAGGGTTAGAACTGAGATCTGCCAAATTCATTTCAATGTCTGTCTGATGGAAGATGTCCTGGGCTAGCCTGGCTTTAAGTTGGTGTCCTGTAGAGTGAAGGACTTTGTAGCTCATTGGAAGTGCTGTGATGTATCCAGTCTCTCAGTCACTTTCAAGAATGATGCTTGGCTTCCTTATTTACTGTATTTCCTCGAATATAAGATGACCCTGATTATAAGGCACCCACCCCAATAATTAGATTCTATATATGGACAATTTCTAAATTTGTTGTAATTTTCCAGGTATAGAATTTAATTATTGGGGGTTTGTCTGGAATTTGCCCCCTCCCACTGCTACAGCATGGAAAATAAATCTCGGGGATCTGGTAGTCCCTTTGCTTCCCCCAACTCATTCACCCCCCACCTTACTGGTGGACCCTGCTCTTCCTGAGCACATGGAAGTAAGGAGCACGTTTGAAAAAACAAAAAAAAAGACTGAAATTAAACATAAGTATATCTATTTGTGTATAGTGCCCATAAACTTAGTTCATCCAGAATTGAGGCATTTTGCCTTTTTTGAGACTCCTGCAAGTTTTACCACAGGTACTCCATATACGCAGTTTTAAGTAGCACTGTAGCTCCTACTCCTATATTGTACAAACTGTGCATGATATTAGTTCAAAACCAAAAGGCTTATGATTTTTCTGTATAGTTCAGTGGGCTCAGCCCTAACAGAGATGACAGCATTTCAAGCCATGGTAACCTCACATCTCAGCACTACTCAGTAAGTGTCTGTACTCCAGGTACCTGCCGGGTGGCTGCAGCAACAGTGCAGTGTGCTCCGACTGGGGGCTGGGGCAGGAGCCAGGGCAAGAGTTGGGGCAGTGCCGTAGGTGGTGCGGAGTGCTTGGCAGGGCTTGGTCCTCTGGAACACTACAGGGGCAGCCTGCAGTGGGGAGGCAAGGCAGACAGGGGGTGATGGGACTCTCAGTCATTGATGCATAGCTACCTTGCTACATATGCAAATTTAAAGATGGATAGAAATCAGCTATGAAGTTATTACATGTTTTCCAGCTCCAACTGTAGCTAGATGAAACTTTTTTATGGCATGTTAGTTACTTTGTGTGCATAGCTGCTCTAAATTAATTTTTCAATTAACCTGTTAATTGCTTAATATATATAACATTTAGAAGGGACCTAAGAAACCCACATTGCCCAGTAGGTTATATTTGTGGGATGACAATTGAATACTAGGTTCCTAGCTTTGGAAGCAGAATACAGTCTTGTGGTTAAAGCAGTAGTTAAATTGTTCAACCAAGCCACACAGGTACTTCATATAATCATATTCTTTCTGAATTGCTGCATGCTTAGGGGGTGAAACTGGGGCTGTCTTATCTGTGGATCTGATTTCTTTTCCCATTTTGCTCTAATGTGACCTTTTGCAACCTTTATTATGTATAAAATGGGATTTATTACTTCCCTGCCTCTGGCCTTGGCCAGACTGTTTAACCCCTGTTTCAAATCTTAACCTGTAATATGAGTATATTATATATTTACTTTACTCTGAGCAGTTGAAGTTAAAACATTTTGGAGACAAAATCTGTTCCGGAGTGTTATTTTTATGAGTTGTATTTTATATTGGGACAATAATTATCAACCTCTAATTTAGCAGTTTAATTTTTGGCAATGATGGTTTTTTCAGCCAATGTTAAGGTGAGCAGTATTTATGGTTCATAGATTCTTAGGTGGTTAGGGGTTGGAAGGGACCTCAGCAGATCATTGAGTCCAGCCCCCTGCACCAGGCAGGAAAGACAGGTGAGGTCAGGTGACCCCAGCAAGATTTCCAGGGTAGGTGATTGCACCACCTCTGGAGGGAGCTTATTCCACATATTAAATTTATTTAATATTAAAACTTATTCCATATTAAATGGTAATTTAATGCTTTATAAAATTACATAATACAACATGAAATATTTCTTTTAAGTATGAATAATTAAGATTTTACAAACTATGGGTGAACTGATATTCATAACATATTTCTCTCTCTCTCTTTTTTTCCCAACAGAAGTTTTATGAATCCTTATGAGCCATTCATAATTCCAGAATATCTTCGTGATCAAGTGGAAGAATTTGAGGCTTTGCATGGTAGTATTTCTGACAGTGATGATTATCAGAGATTTTTGGATAATAACCCAGACCCAACTTGTGCAAGTTTATATGAGTAGGTATTAACTTTTTGTGTTCATCAGTTCAAAAGTGTTAGATTTTCTCTGCATGAGTAATTTTTCAATTACCAATGTAAACGTACCAATTTAAATGCAGGTAAGTTCTTAAGTTCTTCTGATCTTAGTTAAGGTTCAGTAGATTTCATTTCCATTATCCACATAACAAGAGACGTTGAAGTGGTGGTCAGAAATAAAACATCCTACTTGATATGTTTAGAAATGACTGACAGTAATTATAAGTGAACTTCTGAAAGATGCAAATAAGTTGAGGGCATGATTGTATCCATATGAAGTCATGTAAGACATTCCATAAAGTGGATAGCTGGAAGCTTGTTCTGAAGGGCATCAGATTTCATGGTCTTGGTGACAGAATCCACTTTTTTATTTTGCTAATGCTTCCCTGATTTAAGGTCACATCTCTTCTTATACACTTCAACTTTGAATTAAAAGGCCTGTGAGTGTAAATGGTTGGCAGTATCTTGAGTTGCACAGCCACCTACTGGGAACTGAAAAAGAGTTCAACCTTGATTTCAGTTGGAATGAATGAACTGAGAGGTGAACAGCTGTGATCCAGATATCATGGGATTTCTTCTTTCTTTTTAGCATTCAGACTTCCACTTAAAAATCTAATCTTAAATAATCTAATTTGTTTTCCTAAACAATAATAGATGGGTGGGTCATCCAGAAATTTCGGTAGGACTAAGATAAATGCATGTCCCTTAAACAGTTTTCAACAGAAATTAAAATGATTTTGAGATCAGTCAGCTATGTCTAACAATGGAGTTTGACAACTTGAGATGGAGCTGTCATCAAAGACCATAGTTTTAGGTATGGTACTTGTTCCTTAGGTTGGTTTGGAAATTCAAGTTCTCAGTAGCATTTCTTTACTATTTAAATACTGTTTTGTCTCCTGTGTCCCTGTGCAAAAGATCATCACAGATATGTGAAAGGGTGCACATGATTTCATGTAGGACTGTCAAATATCCAAAATAAACATCTCCAAAAGGTTATATTTTTCTACAATCCTTTCAGTAATTACAAGTGTTGCAACTAATGGTGGTAGCTTAAAAAAAAGAGGGGGTGGATTTTGTTTGAGCAAGGAGTTTTCAGTGATCTGTTTTAAAGGCAAAACATGTATATACATACTGTTACAGCAAACAAAGCGTTTTGAGGGGAGCACCGGTAAAGTTGGGTATCTTTGTCTTAACTAATTGCAATAAGCATTGGTTTTATATACAGTGTATAGAGTTAAGATCTCAAATGGAAAGATCATGTTAAATTGATCTAATTGACTGGACAGTCAGTGAGTTGGTCTACAGTTGAACAGTCTCTCTGTCTGGAGGGTTTACTTGCTGACTAAAGGTTTGTTTCTGTTTTTTAATACCTCTTCTGAACAGTGGAACTATGCTTGCTGCGAGTAATTGCTATGCAGTTTGCAGCAAGCTGAAAGGTTTAGATG